ATAATCAAACAACTTTAGAAGCTTATAAATAATTATTTTTTAATAATAATAATAATTAAACAGTTATTATTTAATGATAATAAACAATTATTCATAATAATAAAATCGTTAATTTATTTTTCCTAATGATCAAATTTTTAAAAATGTAATATGTCAATTATCTAAATTTAATATTAAATTCTCAAACATTACTTACTAATATTTTATGTACATCTGTACATGTGCACAGGATATCTACTAGTTAATTGTCAAGTTGTCTAATTTCTTATTATTGAATATATATATTGTGTGTAATATATGTGTAGATTATCCGATTATATTATATCTCGAGCCCGTAACCAAGTTATAGCATCTTTTTATGTTCAAATTTCAAATGTGAAGGATCATTTTTGGAGTGAATTTGACCAGCCCTTAAGGGCCTTGATTCATCCGTTTCTTTCATATAAATTAGGACATTATGTGTGTTAATTTTAGAATTAACATCACATTTACTTCCCAATTAATTTACTCTTGATATGAGATCAAATTCTCTTCTTATTTCTCATTTATCACATCGACAATGACCCTTGTGTAAGGAGGAAATTCTGAAACTAAAACACTCCCTCACCCTCTCATATCTCTCAAAAATTCAGAGCGAAAATCCCTTGAAAACACATTGAATTTGCCATCAGTCACCACGTGAGTCGAGCAACGCTGTTGAACGTGCACGCTCAGCCCCGTTTCAGCCCCTTTCATCCGTTTGTGTGATTATCCCGAGAACGGTACCGAGACTCGATCTCCCTTTCGTTTATTTATGTGATATATGTGTTATATTGTTGCCTTGGTGACATTTGTGTGATAAGGGTTCACAATAATTGTTTATATGTGGTGATCTTTATGTGTTATGTGAAATTGTGTGAGTTATTGTGATGAATGAGTCGGAAGGGGTTGAATCAAACATGCTGGTAGTGACTCTTTTCCTTTGTTATATGTGTTGTATGGTAGTTATATGATGTTTTGATGCGGTTTCGTTAAGTTACTTTGGATTTGGGATTATTTAAGTGAAGTCCATGAAATATTGTGATTTTCGCTGTTCTGTTGTACTGCTGTTTTGGCCCTGAAATACTCGTTTTATGATAATCTGGTCTTTAAACGATATGTCTTGGGGTGTATTCATTTCGGAATTCGAGTGACATTTAAAGACTTTTTAAGATTTAAGATTTTTGAGGATTTTCAGATTTTAAAAGAATCCTATAAAATACCAAGTCTAAAGGTGGGATTTGTAGTGGGATTTCCTACATGTTTTTTTCTTTAGAAATCCCAGCAAATCTTAAAAAGTCCTTATAAATCCTAACCTTAAATTAGTTAAATACACCTGGATTTCGTAAGACTTTTTAAAATCCTAATTGAATACCTCAAGACTTTTAAAAGTCTTGAGAAATCTAAATTAAATACACCAGGATTTCTAAAGTCCTAAAAAGTTTTTAAAAGTCTTTATAAATCCCAATTAAATACGTAGTATTTTCTGTTGGCTTTCTTTGGGCTTTGGAATTTCGATATTCCGATTTATACTGAGTGAGATATGATTTTTACAAAATTATTCTGCGAACAGTTTTCTGAAAAACCCGGCAGCATGATGTGCTAAATGTGTGACATGTTTATTGTGTTTTAACGTACTCAATTGATTTTGTGATCTTCATAAAAGTTATAGGTCTATTTCTTAGCTTTCTAATGAGGTATGGTGCATGCTGATATGAGCTCTGTAGCTCGAGTTGTGTTTAAATGAATGTAGATATGCATGAGATAGTGTTTTGTACTTTGGCAGAAACTGATTTTTAAATGGTAATAGCTTTTGCACCTTCTTAGTTAGGGGTGGTATCGGTTCGGTTACCGAACCGATAACCGAAAACCGATACCAAACCGATTAACTTCGGTTTCGCTAAAATCTATACCGAAACAGAACCGATAAGGATTCGGTAACCGAATTTTTGGTTACCGAAAATCGGTTCGGTTTCGGTAAAAACCGAACCAAAACCGAAAGCAACAAAAAATAAAAAATAAAAAAAAAAA